CTCTCTCTCTCTCTCTCTCTCTCTCTCTCTCTCTCTCTCTCTCTCTCACACACACACACACACACACACACACACACACACACACAAACAGAGGGAAGTGACATTTTGGGTTGCTGTCAACTACTTTTGCAAAATGCTACATAGAGAGGAAAAATGAGAACAAATAAGGCAGGAAAGGAAGAAAGAAGAGGCAGAGGAAGATGAAAATTGTCCCTCCCTCTATATACAGTGGTGCCTCACACAACGAGTGCACCGTAGAATGACGAATCCGCACAACGACGGCCCCTATGGCTCAAAATCGCAGAGCGAAGGTGGGTAAGCGGTTTGCTTACCGACCTTCGCTTTGCGACCCGCCGATCAGCTGTTAGGCGGCTTCAAAATGGCCACCGGAAGCCCCAAAATGGCCGTGCGCAGCATTTTCGCGCCCTCGTTAAGCGAGGGGAGGGCGCGAAAATGGCTGCCGGACATCGGAGAAACATCGCTGTACGGTGAGTAAAGCTGCTATTGGAACGCATTAAACTAAGTTTAATGCGTTCCAATGGCTTTTTTTGATCCGTACGGCGATGTTTTCACACAGTGAGGGTTAATCCGTTCCGGAACGGATTAACCTCGTTGTGCGAGGCACCACTGTATATATAGAGGGAGGGACAGTTTTTGAAGGAAAGGGCGACAGGTTTATTCAGATAAGATAAATGCGCACACGGGTGGCCAGCAATGTGGGGACCCCGATATCAACAGGGTTAAAGTTTTTATACAGTTCTAAAAAGGAAACAAAAGTATGCAGCAGTTCATTGGTCCTTGAGGACTATGTGCAGTGGTTACAATTTCTCGCATCTCAGCAAAGTAGTTAGTTTAGACAGGTTTATTCAGATAAGATAAATGCGCACACGGGTGACCAGCAAGGTGGGGACCCCGATATCAACAGGGTTAAAGTTTTTATACAGTTCTAAAAAGGAAACAAAAGTATGCAGCAGTTCATTGGTCCTTGAGGACTATGTGCATTGGTTACAATTTCTCACATCTCAGCAAAGTAGTTAGTTTCTCATGCGCAGAGCAGCTTATCTCTAAGGAATATTGAATCTTCCTTACAAAGTGCTAATTGCTCCATTCTTACATTTTGATTTTTATGCCCCATAACCCTTTCAAAATAACAATTACTTCTTGTTTCAACAGTACAAAATGCAGGAGCAAATTTCGACAAACATGGTTTCTCTTATCAATCCCTTACAATATTTTACATCCTGTCAATTTATTATTAAGTGCTGTGGAGGAATGCCCTCATCACTCCTGTCCATCATATGGAGCTCAAGTGCAGGAGCCTATGATAGGACAGGAGGGGCGGAGTTAGAGTGACAGTTGGGGAGTTAGAGGGACAGAGAGAAATAGAGGAGAGGCGGAGTTAGAGTGACAGTTGGGGCGTTAGAGGGACAGTTAGAGAGAGAGAAATAGGGAATGGAAGTGGGAGAGTTAAATATATGTCGAGGGCCATAGAGAACACAGACACAGGTATGCATCTGCCTGTTCTCCACACAAGAACTGTGTTCTTGCAAAAGCCCTGTTTTTTAGGTTCTTCTTGGTTCTGCTGACTAAATCTGTAGCATCTTAAGTGACTTCTAAGTAAAACAGTTCTCTTTGTAATGAGGGAGTAAGCTTTCCTGATTTTCCATCCATATCAAGAGATGGGGAGTCTTTCTTTTCACATTATACTGTAGGCACAAACTGTGCTTTGCCTGTGTTTGGCACGCTGCAGGCTTCCCTGCCCTACCTCCTCATCTGAGTACGTGGCTGCTGGAGGAGGGAAGCGTGTGGTGCTGCCTCTGAGTGGATGGTCACTCAGAGGAGGCAGAGCATGGCTGCTGGAGGAGGCGGAGGAGGGAAGCGTGTGGTGCTGCCTCAGAGGAGGCAGAGCGGGGAAGTGCACTGCTGGCAATGAGTGAGTGATTGCCTGGAGGAGGCAGGGGAGGGAAGCAGGCAGCACCCATGGAACACCTATGTGGGAGTTGCACCAAACCAGGTTGAACTTTAACCAGGTTAAAGTGCAGCTCATGCCTATCTCTACTCCTGGTGTTCTTTGCTGTTTCTGCAAGATTCACAAATATTCTTTTAAAAAACACTTGACTTTAATCTAGGAGGAGCGGAAGGTAGTTGAACAGTGGATGTGCATTAGATGTAGATGCTTAGAGCCTTTTACTATTAGCTACTACCCTTCTCCATATGTCATGGGGGACATGGAAGGAACCTCACTAAAGAATGGGAAGAATACCTTCAGATGTCTCGTGGGCAATGACTCTGTTGGTCAATTCTTCCACCCCAGAAGCACTGAATGTACGGTAAGTCTCTACTAAGATGAAGGATATGTGGCAAGAGGATCATTGGATCCCAGAAAACAGCACTGTGTAGGTGTCAAAAATTCAAAGAGATACAACAAACATAGATACATTTTGAAGACTAAGAATCATTCTACTATGGACAGAAAGCCAACATTATGAATTGTATAATGTTTTCCAGCCACTGTGCCATCTTGGATTTAAGAGCAGATGTGAGAAACTATGCAGACACAGATGGTGTTCCAAGAAGCATCCAGTTTCCTAAATATTTGAGTTCTTGGGTTTTACAAACAGGCATGAATAAATAATCTCTCCTAAGATCCCATGTGAAAATACTTAGAAGTGCATTTGATTGCTTTTGGCTGGAAACAAAAGCCAGTCGGTGTTTCTTCAAACGTTGCCAAACCAACCTGGCTCAACCAAACTTATGAGACTAACAGTATTTAACCAGGTACTAGAACAGACAAAAAAGAGACTGTGGGAGGTCTCTTGTCTCTTAAGACCTCTCTTATATGAACAGTACCACTATCATAAAGGTACATCATGGGTCTTGAACAGCCTTCCCACAATATTGATTTGTCCATGATATAGATTTTGTAGCAGTTGGGGAGACTGCAATTGCAACTAGTTTTAAAAATGCACACACTGTGTTTTTTTAAAAAAGGGCAATTTTTACTAGGGTAGTAAAAACACTAGCAGTATGGTTTTTCCTAGCTTTACAAGATGGCCTTGTTAAATTCTAGCTTTGCAGGTTGCCAAGCCCTGCAAATTGCTTGCTATCCAGTAATTCCCATCAAGTGGTAGCGGAAGATCTTACTGAGGGATATCTATTCTTTATGACTGCCTTCTGAGTTTGCCACTTTCGATTAAGCAACACTGCTTGGAAAATAGATTTTATTCTTTTACAATAGCATCAAAAAGACTGGTTTCCTTTAAAAAGTTTTTATCTCTGATTTAAAGTAGCAGTTGGATGGAAATCCCTTAAATAAATCCTCTGCTTAGTTAAAAATATTGGAATTTTGCTGGATGATTCAAAATACTTTCCCTTAAAATAGGCCTGACATTTGCACTCAATACACAGAATTACAATTTAATTTTCGGGAATGGAATGGGGAAATTGGACAGCTCTAGGCTAACTTGTAAGAAAAGCACCAAAACGGATGTTCTTAACCCTCCTGATTTCCTTCACCATATTACTGCCGAGTTTAAGTATTTATAAGATGATTGCCTTCATTAGAACCCAGGATAAAATCCACTTCAAGTATTTAAAAGTGGCATATACTAGAAACATTTTAGACTACACAGATCGATTAGATTTAATCTGCCATACTTCCGTCCAAAGATAATTGCTAGCAGCATGTACTAATGTCATGGATCAGCAAAATAGATGGAAGCATGGAAGCAGGACTTTGTACATTTATCATTTAATGGATCAAAAGTTCCAGGAGAAAATTGGGTGCACTTCCTACAAGCTCATTCAGCTATGGATGTTGCCTATTTTGAGATGCATTCCAACGTTCTGTTGCAAGCTTGAATGCAGCAGGCTATCAAAATAAAAAGGGGGTCACTTCTGCAACAATGGCAGTGGGTTGGATACAGATTTAACCTTGTGTTTCTGGGTTGATGGAAATGGATTTCCTCACACCCTCCTTTGTAGGACAACCTTGCCTCCTCCTCTTATGCCACTCCTTCTGGGGCTTGGACATCTTCAAGACTGTGACTGGGTTCTTTTGTAAGAGAGGGCGGGCCTGGGGTTTCGGCGGGAAGAATAGACGGAGACGAAGCCACAGGTGCAAACAACGGTTGTTTATTGCTCTTAACATCGGGAATCCCCAGACCAAACGGGTCTAACATCTCCACCTCCGGCAACAGCTTATAACTTTTAACTTTATAACATTTTCCACATTCTTAGTTCCTTTTACATTTTCATCACTCCATGGATAGAGGTGATTGTGAGGTTCTGTATTGGCGCGCTCAACACTGCGCAAGCCGTCCCGTAGCAAGGATGTACCACTCGGGTTCCCTCCAACCTGGGGAGATAGGGGCTGGTACCATAAGGGGTCTCCTTCTTCCCCGAAACCAGAATAGGAGAAGTTGCTCCCCAATTCCATCTCTCCCTTAGCTCACCCTTCTCCTTAAGATGTTGATCAGGTGGAGTCGGCAGCAATCCTCCTCCTGTCATCAGATTAGGAAAGTCCTTTATCAACTTGGCAACTCTGTCTCTACTCTCTCCTGTCTCTTCCATCTATACACTTCTCTCTTCTAGCTTCTTCTGACCACACCTCCCTGCCTCCTCCTCTTTTATATCATCCCATCTCCACCCTTCTAACTCCTCCCTCGCTTGCTTCTGTCTCCCCTCCACTAGAAACACTTCCACTGCTTTTGTGTTCCCTGTTCCTTCGTCGTCCAAGTTAATCAGTTCCCCTACTACACAGCCTTCGCATGTTTCTTCCTGGAGGACGGCACACTTTTGTTCTCCTGCTCACAAAGGCTCTACTGAAAATTCTACAAAGAGGACTAGGGGATGTCCCTGAATAGGGTGATTTTGTGTGTGTGCAACGAGAAATCTCTACATGCTCATTGGAAGGACTTTCTACAAGTAGGCTTTATCTTCTAGTGTCTGAGTGACTGACTCACAACATTCCAAAAGTCACTGGAGTGTTTACTCCCGGTCACTTATAACTGATGAAGTTGCAGTCCAGTAACATCTGGAAGGGCATATGTTCTCCACACCTGTGCCTGGAGAAGAATCTATCCACCCCTCCTCAGAAGGGCACATCCTGAATCCAAACCAGCATTGCCACATATGTTCTCCACACCTGTGCCTGGAGAAAATCTATCCACCCCTTCTCAGAAGGGCACATCCTGAATGCCGCTGTTCTGTCATTACTCCAAGTTGATTACTGGCATGCCTGGGAGATTTTTTTAAAAAAACATCCAAAATGAACCCAACTATAATGTAAAGAAAGTTATTCTTTTCCTTTCCTATGTAATATTCAAAAAGTCAATAATATTAATTTGCCTTTAAACATTAGCAATCTTTTATACAAGTAACATGCAGATATTGGCCAGTTTCCATTTTGATCCTGTCCAGACTTACCTCTGCTTGAGCTTTGGCCTCCTGAAGTAAAGAAGAAACATCACACTTTGTTGTCACTGAAGATAAAATTGACTGTAATTTCTGCTGATCCAGAGTAGAGACTAAGAGCTGATCCAAGCTAAAATATTTAAGTGCAAAATTGGATACTGGATGAGACTGTAGAAATATATTCAATGACTGAATGCTAACAAAAACAATCACAACATTTCTACTCTTTCATGCAGAAATGGACAGCTAGCCTAAGAATGTTGAGTTAAGGTGTTTGGTTTCTTCCTCAATTTCCTTCTTCCCTATAGCTCACTGCTACTCCTTCATTCCCTTCAAACAGCATCTGCTTCTTCTATCTGTAAACCATTGTTTGCCAGATGACGGCATCTCCATTCCCCACCTTACCAAGTGTAGCAAAAAAAAAAATCAGAAAAGATTATGCAAAATATTTATTCCCCACCTTACCAAGTGTAGCAAAAAAATCAGAAAAGATTATGCAAAATAGTGTTAACGTTGCAGAATAAATGACCCTCTAAGGTGCGTGCCTGCCCATGACTCTACCCCCTGTGCACAGCCGTCCTCCTCGTCCACACACCAACAGCAATCATTTTCAGTCTATTTGATTCCGGCTGCGATGGAATGCTACACGTGTATGTGTGTGTGGGGGGGAATTGTGCATGCAAGCAGAGCTTTGCCAAGAGGAGTTGAAATTTACAGGGAAAGCTGATGCCAAATTTTCTTAGCACAGAATCCAGATAGACTGGACGCAGAATATTTTATATTTTTATGCAGAATAAGCACCACAGAATATAGACCTTGTATGACTGTTTGTCTTGTCTTGTCCAGGAGAACCTTTTGACTCTGGAACTTTACCCAGTTTGGAAACAAAAAACAAGAATAAGAAAATAGTGAAACTAACCTGATTGACCAACTTTTCTCTGAATGCATCCTATTTAGGCTGGCATCATATTGCAGCACTTCTTCATCAGATGCTGACCCAGGAGTGCCAGGACCACTGTTCCATGGACTGCTTTCTTTTGACTGGGTCCTGCTTGCCATTACAAGGCCTGGGAGCCCCGGGCAGTCATTCAGACTTGAAACATTTTCTGTGGCAATACCAAGAGATTTTGCAACTGGCAGAACTGCCACTTCTGTTTTGAAATGGGTAGGTTTGGACTCCATGGAGAAGTCTTCATCACACAGCTTGTCCAGATCTGGCATGCTCAAGGCTCTTAGTTCCCGGAGTTTGGAGCGAGACAAAGGCACGTGCCTGATGTGCCCACCTGAGGCTTTGCTTCTCCGGACACCAATCGCGGATGGAGGCAAACTCTCTGGCCTCCCCAAAGCTGTATCTCTTTCAGTCTTCTCTAAGTCACCATTATCATTGCTATTCTTGGCAGAATTTTCTTGCAGATTTGTTAGTGCTGTGCTAGTTGAAGACCTCGTCATCCGTGGGGATGCTGGTCCTTCACTTTCACAGTATGAACTCAAGCTCCGTCTCAGTGCCTGAACTGCATCATTGACCCTTGTCGTTGAAACTGTAGAAACACCACCAGATAAACGCCTTCCAATGGGAAGTTTCAGACTGAAAGTGGAGGAATGTATATCTATGGCTTTGACCAGTGGCCTATCCAAATTGGCAAGGTTCTCAAAAGATTTAATTCTCTGTTTGACTGAAAAAGATGAAATGGGGTCATGGGGCCAATTCAGCTCATAATAATAATAATTCCTCCTGCAAGGTTTTAATTGATCTGCAACGTGACTGCTGTTGTCATTGGCTATTGATAATTCAGGATTACTTGGTTTGGGGATGCTCTTAGAGTGCTCTTTTTCATTTGGAGTGCTTTGGCCATTCGTCAAATTAAGTTGGACCATTTTCAGCATGCCTATCTCGCAAAGAGGATACTTTTCACCAGAAACATTGCTCCGGATATCCTGGACTTGATGGGCTGGTACATTTTCAGCACTGCTCTCTCCTCGCAAATGATTTGATAATTGGGTAGGCATCGAATAGGTCCTTGTCACAGGCTTTAGTGGTGTGTGTATGTTTGGTTCCTCAACAATATTTTGCATCTCATTTTCTTGTTGATTGAACGTTTTATTGGCAGTCTCTCCCTTCTCCAGAGGTACTTCTGGAATTACTGAAGATGGTGCAAATGAGGAGGAGGAAGACAGCCTCACTTCAATGAATGTGCGTTGAATTTCCTGACCTGATTGTTCCTGTAGGGCAGAAGAATAAGGAACACTGGAGGAGTTTTTTTTTAAAGACTCAATGTTATCAGTTCCTAATTGATTCATTTCACATCCACCATCAGTCAGGTAACTCATGGCCATTCCATGGGTCTCAATTCTGTTACTCTGACAGTCATTGCTGGTCAGACTTTTGGAGTGGGCACTTATATGGGAAGGACCTTCTCTTTTTTTATAATCATCCATCCTACTTACACCTTTCTTTTTGCTATTCATATCTTCTAGAACCGACAACTGCTTTTCTTTCTGCTCTTCAGAATTTTCTAACATTCCAGTACTGCTAACTTCCATTTTGTTGACAATTTCCTCTTCCTTGTTTTTCACAGCACTGCTGTCACCATTCAACACTGGTAAAGATGATTCTTGGGGCACTGTTAAAGTCAGTTTGCTTTCTTCCTCTTGTTGAAAAATCCTGGAGCCCATGGAAAGGCTCCTTGTAGGGGGCTCCAAATGTGTAGTTAGATTATGGAGTGATGTGCCTTTTTTTGGAAGAAGCCTAGGTGATAACTGCACAGGAGATGTTTTCTTCTGATCAGTGCTACCAGCCTTTGCAGGAATTGCATTAAGACTATCTGAATTAGTCTTGGACTTGCTTTTAATAGTAAGACCTTTTAACTTTGGTCCGGGCTTATTCCTTTGATTATTTGAGAGAGTTTCTGTAATGCTCTTCTGAGGAATCCCTCTTTCGTGGTGTACTTTTTTGAAGGAGGATTGATTGTGTGGGACTGTGATGCCTTTACCTTGGCCACAATTTTGCATTTTTGTATTTGAACATTTTATAGCAGGAATAGAACCTGTTTTTTCACTCTTCCCTGGTAAGTCATAAGCAACAGCCCCCACCGACTTACTCACATCTTTAGTTTTGGTTAGAAGGGGAGATCTGGGGCTGTTCACTGTCTTCTGTGATGTGCAGTCCATGGTGTGACCATCTAGTTTAGCCAAGTGGGCTGAATTACCATTTCCTTTTTTTCTCAGAGGAGGAGGACAATCAAGTACACAACTATTTAAAACTGTTCCTAAATCATTTTCTGGAAGTGGTTGTTGCTTTTTACTATGTTCATCTTTGTCCAGCAGGTTGCTGTCCCAACCATTAACAGTTTTTGTCATACACAAAGGCATTTCTTGGGTATCACATCTGGAAGTTTCACATATATCTGTAGGTCCCTCTTTGCCCTCCAGGCTTATACTTTCTCCTCCCCTTAAGGAGCCATTGTCCTGGAAAGAAAAACCTGGGTTGCTACTATCTAACAGATCTACCTGGGTTGGAGAGACTTGAGAAAGAGAACAAAAGGTTGTAGGTGGAACCATATGTTCTGTGCTAGAATGCCTTGGGGAGTAGGATTCTTCTAAAGCAAAGCTGCCATTTGTTATTTCTAGTGAATCAATTTCGGCCTTGCTTACTTCCTCCAAAATACCATTCGAAGGACAGCATTCTGGAGGGTGAAGAAATGTTTCTGCAGTAGTTGTGACCTGCTTCTTTTGGGAAGAGTGCTGCTGCTCACTATTCGAACAGCAAATTTCAATTTGTTCATCATCTGACTCAACAGCCTTATGGGTCTTCAAGGGACCATCACAAGCAAATTGTAAGACCAATGAATTGATGGAAGGTCCAGGCGTTTCAGCTACAGATTCGGTGTCTGAACTGGAGTCATCTGCAGCAGAATACATTGAGTTTGGAGCAGTGTCGGTTTTGTTCTCCATTCCAACTGAACTGTCTTCATTCAAACTACTAAAATTCCTAGAATAGTTACTCAAGCGAGTTTTGTTCACAGTTAAAATCTTGCTTGCATTAATGGAATCCAAAACAGAAAATCCCAAGATTTCATTTGTATTAGACACACAATTCAGAGGTTTTTCTGGAGGATAATTTTTAATTATATCTGATCCAGCATTAGAAGAAGCATCTTCTGCCATCACAGAAATATCTTCCTTGGGAAGTAATAAACATGTAGCATTATTTTCTTCTGATGAATTTAAGTTGACAAGGAACACATCAGGGTCTTTTAAAGGCACCACAGTGCTATCTTGGGCACAGCTGGTTTCCAGAGAATCTGTTAGCATCTCTTCCGACTTGATACCAGATGGAGATATTGCCCTTTCTGCCACATCATCAGAATCATCTCTGTGCAAAGGTTCTTTCTGATTTGCAAAAGCGTTCTCTTCTTCAGTCGTAACAATATTGTTTGGATCAGCTTGAACTGCTTCCTCTGCCTCTGAAGAGATAGGATTTGAACTTCTGTCCAAGGCTACATAAAAGAATAAAGCAAACAAGTTATTCCTTCGTCTTAATTATGTGACTATGAAAACTATAGACAATGTCTCACTTCTATTTTTATGCCTCCAGCTGAGATCCAGTGATTTGTTAAGGAGAAGTATAGTAATTTGACTACTAGCCTGTCAAATTTAAATAATATTCATTTTGGTAACAGTAACTGTGTTTATATGCACAATTGTTTGGATCAAGACTCTGCTTTGCACAAACAAAAAGCTCCTTTCATCTGTGAAAAAGTTTTGATTCACTATTACTTGATGATTTGGAAGATGCATATGTGAACACAAATGGTCACCAGATAATTTTGTCACTGACAAGGAACATATATGAGAGATAATGGATGTTGTATCTACAAGTTTTAATCTGGAACGGCTCTTCCCTATATACAATCATCATGTGGCTCAGCAGTCACATGATAAATGCTCCTCATTGAGCACCTGAATTTCTGACAAATCTTTACAGGCCCTAGAAAGAAAAGTCTTGGGTTTTTAAAATACAGTTAAGGAAATACATGTATAGATTTCTATGATTTGTGGCATAAAAGAAGATGGTAATTAGGATTTGCCTTAGCTTTGGCTTATAGATTCAGTTTTAACAGAAGTTATATTTAAATGTCGCTGCTCCTGCTGACCCCACCTCTTCTTTCTGTTTTTTTTTTGGGGGGGTGTTCTCTCCTAATGTTAACATCAGTTATGGCAGGAACACTGTCTAGATTGGGAGTGTAGTGAGGGCAAAGGATAAAGCCTTTCTTTCAAAGATATCAGTTCAAATGTTATCCCCTTTCTGTGTACAACTGCCCAAACTCTTGCATCACACCACACCACTTATAGTACACGAATGCTGGAGAGGTCCAGGTTATATGGTTTTCAGAGGTTACTGTTTCTTCATGGTCAAAGGCTCTTGGTGGTGATCCCATAGGGACATGAATGTTTGGACCAACCCACTCAGGGGAATCTACCTGCTGTGTGTCCCTTTTCATTGCCTCTCCCTATATAGCAGTGACTTGGGTTTCTGTTCTGCTTTATGCTTTAAAAACCCTCTTCCTCTCCTGAACAGGTTTATATATGACCTGACACAATAATCACAAATCAAAATTCACAACAATTTTTTTAAAAGAGAGGATGGCGTGGAGTGCTCTCACCAGAAGCAGCTTTCTGGATGTCCAGTCTGATCGTTGTGGGAAGACACCGTACATATTGACAGAGTTCCTCGTAAGAGAATCCATGGACTGGCATACCATTGATAGAGAGGATATCATCTCCTGGGACCAGCTTTCCCTTAGAAGCCTGTTAAAATTGAATGAGGTAAGTTAGGTGCACTATCAAAGTTTGTGCAATTCCTATCAACTTCTGTAGCCAGAACCATCATCTTGGTTTATTACCACTACTAGGTAGCATTCAAAGCAGTTCACAAACATCATAAGACCCTTAAAACCATAAGTAAAAGGATATTTAACCATGTAATCATTAAAATCAAATTAAATCAAACATTGCCATTAAAACAATTGACAGCAATTAACTATGTTGTTATGTGCTGTTAAAATGCAATTAACTTATAGAAACCCTAATAGGGCTTCCAAAGTAAGTTCAGATACTGTATTTGAGGAGTGTTTTTCCAGTACCACTCCTCCAGGGAGATTCAATGGTTGAGTAGGGATTCGAACTCAGGCCTTCAGAGTCCAAGCCCTTAACTCTATCCACGACACCACACTGGGTATCTGCAAACGGCTGACGTCATTAAATCAAACAATATTATAATCCAATTCAGAAAGTTACATCTTTATACCTCTCCTAAAAGCAATGAGAGTGGAAACTGATTACAACTTGGAGGGGAACACATTCCGCAAGATCAGACTCTCTCCTCCTCTCACATGCTGGTCAAGTGGACTCCTGCACTGGCTGGCCTTCTCAAGAGTTCCTCTCCTGAAGATCTTAACATCTGGACAGATTCATGACAAGATACACATTGATCCCTTAGATACATTCGTTCGTTTAGTCGTGCCTGACCCTTCGTGACCCCATGGACCAGAGCACGCCAGGCTCTCCTATCTTCCACTGCCTCCTGGAGTTGTGTCAAATTCATTCTGGTAGCTTCGATGACATTGTCCAACCATCTCATCCTCTGTTGTCCCCGTCTCCTCTTGCTTTTCCACTTTCCTAACATCAAGGTCTTTTCCAAGGAGTCTTCTCTTCTCATGAGATGGCCAAAGTATTGGTGCCTCAGCTTCAGAATCTGTCCTTCCACTGAGCACTCAGGGTTGATTTCCTTTAGAATGGATAAGTTTGTTCTCCTTGCAGTCCAGGGGACTCTCAAGAGCCTCCTCCAGCACCACAATTCAAAAGCATCAATTTTTTGGCGGTCAGCTTTCTTTATGGTCCAGCTCTCACATCCATACATCACGACAGGAAAAAACATAGCTTTGACTATGCAGACTTGTGTTGGCAAGGTGATGTCTCTGCTTTTTAGGATACTGTCAAGGTTTGTCATCACTTTCCTCCCAAAAAGCAGGTGTCCTTTAATTTCGGGGCTGCTGTCTCCATCTGCGGTGATCATGGAGCACAAGAAAGTAAAATCTGTCGCTGCCTCCGTATCTTCCCCTTCTATTTCCCAGGAGGTGATGGGACCAGTGGCCATGATCTTAGTTTTTTTGATGTTGATCTTCA